CCCTAATGACTTCGTTGTAACGAGCTTTTACTGTACCACAATAAGCGGGATTCAAAAGTGAAACCAAGGGTACAAATTTTCTTGTCCACAAGGTTGAATCAGTCGCCTGTACTGCATTGTAATAAATCACTGCTAATCTGAAAAAGGGTTCTTAGCTTTTACTCACCTTTCTGAGAAAGTCCCTCAACTCACCAAATACACATAAACACCTACATTAGCTAAGAACACATAGTCACTTGAGCTTCAAGGCCAGTAGGAAACTTTCTGTGAGACATTTTAAGAAGTACAGTTTTCACTTGAGGCTCACTGCCAGTTCAAAAAGTATCTTTTATACTCTTCAAAATCTGATGAAGGGATTTTAGGATAAATGATCAAAATTAAAAAGAAGGTCTTCACAGCATAATATTTTTATTTATATTCAAGAAAAAAGTGCTGAACATGAATGGTCATGTCATCCTGATTCAGGACATCAAATCACCCATGAAAACACGAGTAATGTGTTAACATCAGTTCAAATTCGTCATGGGTAAATTTCTAATCCAGACTTTCTCGTCAAATGTTTCCACAAGAAAGGGGTGAATCATTCATCATCGAAAACTTATGCTTCTCCACGGCTGCTTGTATCATGGAAACTGGAGATATTTTTGAGCAATGGAACAACCGCATACTGATTCATCAGACGTTTCATCAAGAACTTGTACAGGGTGTACTCAGAACTGAGCATTTCCCCCAGCGCTTCTTTAACTTTCGGTGTGATACCCTGTTTTGGCTTATTCGAATCGTTGTAATTGATCCTGCCTTCCTTCCCTTCCTTTCCTGCTTTGCCTTACACATAACAAAGGCTTCAAAATTACAATGATGCTGTGTTTCTTACGGATATTGGTTCGACTCACTGTAGTAAATGTCTGTGATTCCTTTGAAGAACGGCCTTGTTTTGGGGAACTCTTCCATCACAGTCAAAGTTTCGTTCCATTTTTCCAAGACGCCGACGACTGGGTAAAACTTTTCAATGTTTTCCTGTGCTTTTCTGAGTGCGTTCTTGCTATTGCGTTTCCTGTTGGTTGAGCAAATATATTATTAATTTATCCAGAATTCGATGAAATAATGAAGATGTGTTGTTCATACCAGCAATAAGGTTCCTGTCCACAAAAGTATGCGACGAAACCGAAGTTCGGCTGCTTGTTGAAGTCGTAAGAAGTACAGTTCATCCAAGACTGGTAACTTTCAATGCAGTTTTCAGGCGACTGATTCAACCTTGTGGACAAGAAAATTTGTACCCTTGGTTTCACTTTTGAATCCCGCTTATTGTGGTACAGTAAAAGCTCGTTACAACGAAGTCATTAGGGCCTGTGAAGTATTTTTATTGTAACAAAAAAAAACGCATACAACATGGCGGCTATCCCAGACAGGGGACAAAAAATGACTTCGTTTCAATCGATTTTTCGTTATAAACAGAGTCGTTGTCACGAGATTCTACGGTATACCGAACATTTGTTTCTAGCAAGCGGAATAAAATGTCATTTCGAGAAAGAGTCATTTTAATTTTAATCTTAATGATGTGGTGAAAAATCCCGAATGATTGTTCCGAAGAATTTTAAATTTCCTTGCGCATTCATCTGAGAAGCAGTTTTGTCAAACGAACTTCCTAAATAACCCAAATTTATATTCAGAACTACAGTTTGAATGTATTACAAGAGTAGCATTCGTCCTGCACACATCTTAAAGTATTAAGTAATGACAAGAAATGTTTCGCATCAATTATTCGCTCACCAAGCTTCCATTTTGATGTCTATTTTGAATGTATCATTAATGTATTCCAGCACATGTTTTGACCTCACGAAGTAAAATTTGGAAAATTCGCGGGCAACTGGGTCACGAACAGTGTTGAAATAAATCGGCATCTTGAACCCATGTCTGCAATTCAAAACCGCATATTAATTACTTAACCCGGAATTTTTCTAAAATGGAAAATTACTTCCAAAAATTGATGAAATAATAATGCTTCCTGTAAATCGCTCGACGTTCCTTATGTCCAGTGCTGCTGTTGTTTCCAACAAAATTGAATAATTCTGCAGCTAATCGTTGCTGTTCTTCCAATGTGGCTCTTCCATTCACTAGAATCGGCGGATCAATGAATTTGAAATCATTTTCTCGGGACAATCTGATGGAGAAAAGTTTGAAAATATTGTAATACAATTATATTGCCTCACCCGGAATATTTACGACTTACTCTGCCAGTGAATAAGAAAGACCCAAACTTCCAGTCTTCGGAATTGAATTGTAGAACATGAAATTTTCGTCTACATCTTCGACCCACTTTTTGGAGGCAAAGCTGATTCCTGAAAGCGTGGAAGAATTTAAAATCATGTATCAGGAATGGAAGTCAAGAAAATTTCATGTTTTTCAACCTGTTTAAAACTCATTTAAAAAGCATAATTATATCGAAATCACGATACACAGGAGCAAGAGAAGTTTCCTCATTCAATCTATACTCGGCTCATTGGAATTTCATTGAAAACAATGCTTCTAATTTTACAATTCTGATGAAACTCAGGTCTATGTTCTTTGCACTACATGTTACATAGCATGTTATATACATTAATAGCATGTTATATAATACATGTTATATATTAACACTACATGCACTACATGTTATACTCGTATACTGTACTACCCTACATGTTATATAGTAATAATAATTTCATCATTATTTCTTTAATACATTGTTCCAAGAAATTTTCGATGAAAAAGTATGAGGGCGTCAGACAGGTGTGTCACATTTAACTTGGCATTGCATTCTGGACTGCAAAGAATTCATACAAGTACTGTATAGTCTTTGCGTTCTAGACTGAAATACCAAATAGCAGTCTAAAATGTGCCCATGTTTTGAAACTGATGCCTCTCAAAATTTTAAATTTTCACGCAAATTGAACCTGCCTGAAAAAAGAGCCTGAAAAATATGGCTCAGGATCAATGAAGCACATGAACTTTCAAACTTGATCCAATAAGTTTAGAATATACAATATACGCTTTTCTGGGCTGCAGTTCTTCATCGGAGTTATTCACACTATAAATAGTCTATTCTCAACTTTTGCTCTGTAAAAGTTTGACAATTCCGTGTGCGTTTTACAAAAGCTCCTCGTCCAACATCAAAAAATATTGTAAAAATGAGATCAAGTTGAGGACTTGAGTCCATAAAATCAGAATTGGAATGAGTTGATACTAGTTTGATAACCAAGTCTTCTTTTTCACATACGAGTATGTCCCATAATACCTTGTCCTTGTCATAAAAAAATTATATATTCGCCCGGGTTTAACGTGTTTTCATGAATCTGTCAGAACTTAAATTGATACACGATACTCTAAAGAAATATTGTAGGATATGTAAAAAATAATAAAAGATAACAGAGCAATGTGAGCACCATGCAAAGTTGGTTGTCTTTACCTCAAAAGAATCGTCTATGCGGGAACGGATTAAAGGTCGCATGACAAAAATCGTATCAATATTTTTTTTGCCTCTCCAGCAAGTTCGTGAATCACTATCTTCAAAACGTGTTCTTCTAAACTTACATACATTCAAGAATTCCTCTACAGGGTTGTACCTGTTACCTGCTTCAAAGAAGACCTGCTGAAGAATATATTATAATGTTACATTGTAATCACCTTTCGTGGGATTCTTGGTCAAATTTAATTCATCTGTTTCCCATGAACCATCAGCAATAATCGTTACTTCACTCGAATAAGGTGTCTTCCTCCATTGCAGCAACAGGCTGATCAATGTGCTGGAATTGAAGAACATTTTGAATAATATAATTGCTTTTTTTGAATTCTGGAATTGGATGCTCACCATAATACGAAAAAAAAAAGTGCGATCGAAAACTTTCGATGACTCAAATATATTCTTTGCGACCGGCTCAGGATTTGCATTTCAGTCAGCTATACAGAGCGTCCCCAATTTCAGAGCAGTGAATGTGAAATTGAACTAATAAGCATCGAGTACAAACGCTTATATTGTAGTTTAATGCCGGATGCAGTGGGTAAATAACACGAGGTAGAATTAATTTTCTGGTTCACGCAAAAATCGAATGAGTGATCCACGCGAGCTCACGACCCTGACATGTATATCAGTTCATTCCTATTTTCCGTCTGACGTGAATCTGTTGAGTGGGATATGGTAGAATTCCCATGTTTCGCTGCGTTTCTGACGACAGTAAATAAAAATAAGATTAAAAAAACCTGCATTTTTTGCAATGCATTATCGATGACTCGTTCAAATATATGCAAGGGCATCTGTTTGACGTTGAGATTCCTCTTCTTTCAAGTTGAATCACCCGGAGAACCGAAATTTCATTTCTCTATTCAACATTTGATTCTCTACCATAAATTTCCTTTTTTTATCCCTTATTTTTCATGATTTATTTCATTAAAATTTCGGTTTCATCCGAAGCTGTCTTTGGTCAAGGCATTTTAATTTGAATTCATCCTCTTTGTTTTTTTATGCATTATTTGACTACATCATATAATTTATTATATGCTAAATATTTTCAATGCGACAGTTTACGCTATTCTATATTTTTCCCATTCAACATGTTATTCAATTCTACCACATATTATATTTTGTAATGGTTTACTGTATTAACAGAACACCTTCCTTTCTTGCCCAGCATTCCACACATTAAAATTGAACTATGAAAATAATCAATTAAGGTTCTAAAAATTAAATGAAAAGCTAGTCCCCCAAATATTGGAGGACCAGGATAAATACCTTTCTTGTATGACTTGTTCCTCATAGATTTGTTTATCCAAATTGTTTAATCAGTATAAAAATATCCATGAATAGGTTGAATGCAATGTGTTTTAATTTGTGCATTCTGTAATTGCCATGTACCGTTATTGTGCGGAATTTTTTCTCGACACCAGCGGCAGTGTCAATTTCCCTGAGAAGGGACAAATAGCTCGAGTTTACCGAAATTGGCGCGTCTCGGGACGCGCCCGGGGCTGTAAATTAATCCCCTTGGCGGGGAAACAGGCGGGATCAATTAACTTGCCGAAGTCGGCACACCAACAATATCTTAACCCCCGGAACCAGGACAAAACAGTCGTCAAAAACGACGTCTCCACTTTAACAACAGGGGGACATCGAATCCCCCCTTTTTCTTTTCTTCTCTTTTCCGCAAAAACAGGGGTCATCTAACCCCTCCAAAACTCACTGAAAAACTTGAACATCTGCTGGCAACGCGTTCCCAAAAAATATCATATCCTCTTCCCTAAAAACGATTTATCTTCACAAGACCAAAAACCTTTTCTAAACTGTCAAGAAGCACTAAAAGTACCAGCAAAATTAAATTACTTCTCCAAGCATGTTCTCCTCTTGTTTATATTTTTACAAGCCTTCAAAACACCCGGTCTTTGGGAACAACAAATTCAGCCTTGTATTGTTCAGCAAAATCGTAAAAACCACCCTGTCTCCTGAGAAAACATTACTAGTCCAACTGCAAAATAGTGAAAAACACCAGCACCTGGTATTTTTTGTTACCCAACATCTGGGATTCCTTGAAAATATTATCCAACCCTCCCTGTCGAATTTTCTTGTTAAAAACCCCTGATTTTTGGGGTGACAGACACAGTCCGAATTTTACCGTCAAAGCGTTGCGTTGCATTGCGTCGTGTGCTATCGTCATCAAAAAATTGTCCAAGTCCGCGAAATCTCTTGTGAATATTTATTTGCTAAAAACTGTTGTGCATATTTTGCTGCGTATACCCTTGTGAATATTCTGTACCTGTGAATTTCTGTCACTGATTGTTAAACAAAGGGCTTGCGCTTTTTTGGGAGAGAATCCCTGGTCGGTTCGCGCACCAGCCAATTGCTGTGTTGAATTCATTATCTTTCTTACAGAGAACCACTATTTAGAATTCCTCTTTTCAACTTATAAATTGCTTTTATAAATTGCTTATTCATAACCCGTCATCTAAGTTTTGTCCATTTTCGTAAACTTTACAAATTAATACAAGCAAGGTGTACGGCTTCAAATATTTCCTCTCATAAAACCGTACA